GTGCGAATCATTTCGGACTATCCTCGTGGATTCCCGCCGCTCTCCGATTGCTCACACATTCTTCCTCCCAAATTTTTCGTATATTTATTCATCGCGACGAGCCGTCGTGTCGCCCGATAATTAAACTCTCGAATTTTTCAAGCTTATAATCTCCAAGATTTCATACCTCCCGACGCGCACAGTCGAGTGTTTAACTTTCGAAACTTTGTATATTAAATTTGTCGTATTTTTGAGAAATAAACGAGAGGTCTCCGACACTTTCCGTGTCCTTAAAATTTCCGTCGAGTTCCCCATCCAAGAATACGAAAATTGGTTTAAGAGTAGTTTTGCTACTTTAATTGAACGCAAGATGAAATTTCAAGTGTCACGCCAAGCACAAGTACGCGTTTTTATGCTATTAAGATGGGACACGAATTCGCTTATTTGGTAAGCTGACGTCAACGTTCTCGACATGATGATAAATCGCCACGCGACGCCACCGGCGGCAAATGTTTTTCCTCTGCGCGTTGCATTATCGGGAAACAATTTAAGAGCAGCAACATTTATGTAGAGAGCAATAAGTGCATCGCCTAATGCGGTTTAATGCTTCCGCGTGGAATGTGTCGCCGCAACGTACGCCATTTTTCTCGCTTAATATAAAATTTTTTCTGGACCGTGGAAACGTATAACGTATTTTAGGTAAAAATGTATGTGACAAATTTAATGTTGAGTTTTCTCTCAGCAAATTAAATGAGCCAAGTATAAATAACTTTCTAACAAAGTTTTTTAAACGCTGTGAAAGTTACGCGACACAATTTATTTTATCTACCCGCGCGCGATATCCATCGGTTACAATTTTCGTAATAAATTTTTTGAAAAATTTGCGAAAGATAGATTTTAAGTTCAACAAAAAATAGAACTCAAACTTTTCGGATATTCTATACGTAAATGCAATAATCGTTAAACAAATTCAGTGAGTAATTTTATTTTAAATTAAAACGAAATTATATTCAAAGGCCACAAATAAATTAAAATCAAAAGATGAAATAAAAAGCCAACAGCCAATGCCAGGTGGTCGTGCCGTATTAGAATAACATTTACAATAACAAAAGAATAAAAATAAATTGAAGAATCTATGCCATTGCATTAAACACAAAGAATAACAAAAAATAAAAAATACATACATTTTCCAAGAAGTTTTCGTTGATTCGCAACAGAGAAAGTAATATTCCTCCGGAGATTTTATTTAATTTTACTTAATCACACATATTTACATACATATTCGAATCCAGATGTATTATTGGCCATTTCATTTAAGTGTATTCTACTCGTACAAAGACTGACGAAAAATGAGATGAACAGGAAAGATGAGGTAGACGGGAATAGTTGGACAGCACAATACTCGGCAATACAGGACTATTGTCAACTTTGCCGACGGATAATCGACAATAATTGGCCCGCGATCGAACCGATGATAAATTTCCTATTACCCGAAGTTCCCGATGTTACTGGGAAAGTAAAATATCGATCTCGTGGCGGCAATAGGGAACAAAATAATCAGCAACAAGGGACAATGCTTTTAAAAAATTGTCCTGTCGTACCTTTCTTTTTTTTTTGTCCGAAAATTCGGAACATCGGGATGACAGATGGATAAGTTGCTAGGATACGCGAGGGGAGAATTTGCCAGGACTCGTTAAGCGCGCTCGACCTTACTTATGTACTTTAGGGTAGTAATCTGCTGCGGATTAAATATCAAAGTGATTCGATCGAGAGTTGAGAAGAATTTAAATCCCGAGGTGTCACAATCGCGATGTCGAACCTCAATATTTCCCTCTGCTCGAAGGTCCGACATACGCGAGGTAACGCGAATTTATTACTGTCACGAGGTTCATGCGATTCGAAAATTGTAATCCGCGTGGATCTAAAGAGATTTGAAACGCCAAGAGTACAAGGATTTCGATACTTTTAAGTTTGCGCGATGTTCGCGCGATGTTCGCGCAAAGTTTCCCGCAAAGTCTGAATTGAATTTGCCTTTTGCGGGCGAGAGTTTACGTAGCCGTTCGCGTTATGCGCGGCATATTGATAGACCGCGGCCTGGTACATGCAATCCACGTAGTGCTGCTATTCGGACCGGTGGCGGCAGACGCCAACGCTAAATAACCGCGGTAGCGCGCGGCACCCAACTGTCTCGAGAGCTGCACGGCGTTTAATTACGACGGCAAGTAATTGTTAGTTCGAGAGCGAGAGTCGAGTCGTGCATACGCGACGAGAAGATGACCGTATCTATATTTGAAGAATGACTGTCTTGTCGGTCTTATACGTATAATAACGATAATTCATTCCATTAAAATCATCGAGCCGCACAAGTGTACTCAGCGTACACAGCATACGTCGAATTTGACGGAGTGTTTGTCCTGCGATGAAATCTAACCAATGTAGACGTTTTATATAAAAAAAAAGACTTTTATCCAAAACATTGCTGTTTTTTTGTCATTTTATTATTTCTCCAACGTCTTATTTATTATAAAGACAAGTTATGAAAATAGAGCCAACTCTGAATTTGTTAACGTAAAATGTAAAGCTGCAACGCGATTGCATTATTCAAATTTAATTGTAGCAGTGGAGGCTTAATAAAGTAGAATACCCGATGAAATATTTATCGAATAATATAATTCTCATGTCAAATATTTCAACGACTATGTAACGCACCTTGCTGTGTTGTAATAAACAATGTATACGATTAAGTTTTCCATTTACACAGCGACGCAATTCGAGCAGATGAAAAATTCAACGCTCACAATTTTCAGGATCCTTCCGCGCTTCAATTACTGTCTATCTTTCTCTCGTATTAATACATGCAAATGAAAGCGCCATTTTGCATTACCGTTTTGTGTCGCGTGAATGGCTTAACATAAATTTGATAGAATTTTTCACTGAACCTGAAACACGGACACGCCATCCACTTCCTACGCGCCACCTCGCGATAATTAATACGCTGAATAAATAAATACGCTCATTTCAATCAAGATTCGCCGATACTTCCAATTTGCGAATAATATCATTATTTAATCGCGCTTTTGTTCAAACGCGCATTCAATTATGTAAGCCCGAAAAGCTATTTAAAATGGAACTCAATTAGGGACTCGATATATCGATCGCTTTCCGATATCCACCCGACACAGCGCATCTCTGAAGACGCGTTCCTCGCGCCGGAGTATCGATCGTCACCAGGTGACGCGGAGGAACGGTTTAATCGCATCGATGATGCGTCGTCTGCTCGGCACGGCAGAAGCACCGGGTGCAGCGGTGCGTCGCGGCCACGAGCGCGTTCCACGACGGCGCGCACACGCCCGGCTTGCGGATGTGTATTCATCACGTGCATTATTGCCCACGTGGGTAGGGCAACGACGTGGCTATGAATAGGGAGCAAGTTTAAGGCTACGACGTGTGTGCCGTTGGGTGCACGCATGCCAACGGCGGCGGGCTCTGCGGGTCTCCTTGGCAGATTTACGCGCGAGCGCGTCCGCGATATTTCGTCGAAAGCATCGGGGAAACGCGCGCGCGCTGCAACCGAGGCTTCCCATTTCGGGGCGAGGCCGCGAGGAATTCGCTCGTTTCGCCAGTCCGATCGATCGCAGTGACATTGATCGAAATGCGGAAGGCGAAGGCTTAAACACGCGCAGATTGATGCATTAATAGTACTTCACGGTTTTTATTAATTGCTGATTGACAAATAAATGAACTTTTAATCATTATTTTGCATTGATGTATCGGAAAATTTCGATTTGCATTTTATTTGATTTCAATTTATTTCATACCTTTTGAAATTAATATGAAAAGCATTTTTATTATTGTTCTCTATTATTTTATACAGAATATTTATAGTAATATCATAATAATCTTGCGAAAAGGACGTTGCAGCTACGGAAACAATGATTTATATGTTTCAAATAAAATTGTTATCTCAAATGATAATAATATCGATGAAACACCTACGTGTATTTTTTTCCACATTTATCAATGCCGCGATAAGTGCAGTTGATTCAAGAAACATAAATATGCGTTTGTATTTCTCCACCCGATTAATGTTCAAACACCGCATGTTCGATATTGTCGTCGTCGATTTTTCTTTTGCAAGATGCTCCGGATTGTTGATTTAAATTTTATATTGCATTACTCTGTTTCAATTACTCAATAATTGCAACTTTTAATGTTTTTATTTGGATAATTATAAATACTCATATTAAAATAAAGCATATATTTTAATATTTCAAATCTGCTACAATCTATTATGTATTTGCTTTTCGAATTCTATTAGTACTTATTTCTTGCCAATGTTTGTTTTGCTTCGATGTTATTTCTAAGGCCTCTTTTACAATGAGTCGTATGTTATTGTCATCTAAAAATGTTAAAGTATCTTTTGTGAGAGGCTTTGAAATCCGTACAAATGTGATCTAACATTATTTTTTTCTCCTATTATTAGATTTAAAAAAATGGAAAAATACTAAATAAATTAACCAATTATAATACTAAACGTTGTCTTAAATCTTTTTAAATTAAATAAAGAAATCGTATTACATTTATTTAAAAATGTTGTTCCAATTTTGCACAAGTTTTATTATAATAAATGCCACATCAATTTTTATACAAATATAAATTTAAAATTTAAATAGACATATTTTACACTTTTATTTAGTGTATACAAATAGTGTATTATATTTAGAAAATCTATACAGAAGTTATAACAATAAATTCAAGTTACAGAAAGAGTAACTAAAAGTAGAGTAAGTAAGTAAAGCAAAGTAAGTGAGTAAAAGTAAGTACAAAAATACATAAGATAATGGAGGTAGATATAAAAGTATACGAAATTAAATCCAAATTTGAAACTGTTAATTAATAAATGACAAATTTTATCATTGTAGGAACTCAATTTACTTTACGAATTATTATTATTAACTTCATAAACAGAAAACCGTTAATTGTGCGTGAAATAAGTCAAATAATATGCCAGATTTCCCATGTATTTCAGAACCGTCTGTTTATTTGAATCGTCCAAGTTGTCTAAGACTGCTGTCACCGCTAGTTATAATGCTACTTGAGTGCTATAATCTTCATTGTCCAACTCTGATTTGATAAATCTATACCCAACATATATATATTATATATAATACGTATTAAAACCAAATATTAATTATTTGACTCGTTATCTTTATTTTATATATATTAAATATTACTCAAAAATAGTAAAAAATTAATGATAATAATTAAATATGATGTAAGTTAAGCACTAAATAATAATATTAATAATAATAAATTTATTACCGCTTTTTTTTCAATTTTTTGGCTTCTTTATTGCTCAGTTGTGTTGTCTGCTTATATTCTCGTCGAAAACTTTGAATGTTTATTTAATATGTGACAATGCGCGGTAAGTGAAATATAAAGATTTATGATTTTATCACAAATCTTACATTTTGCAACCAAATCATAGTTTTTCTTAAAATATTTCAGTGGCCAGGGAATTGTTGACCACTTTTGCTGATCTTCTTCGGAATGCTTGGATATGTGATCATTTAAAATATAACCTTCGCGAATCGCAAGATTAATATCACATATAACACATTTTACAAAATTATTGTTTAATATTTGGAAATATTGCCACTCCAAATTTTTAAATGCAGTTTCTTCGAACAGACTAATTGGCTTATGCTGAGTATCTATATGATTCTTAAACAACGAAATATCGATGTAATAATGGTTATATGTACAAGCTTTACATTGCACTCTAAAATTCGGCAATTCAGTATAATATTGCCACAACCAACTGCTACTTTCAACTGCTATCGTGCCACCGACAATCGATTGCACGGACGTTTCTGTTTCAAGTGATAGCTTTTTGTTCCCGATATTTGACGGCATAGACATCGCGACTGTTTCAAGTGACGAAACGCATTCTGACGACTGAGATGTCTCGTATATTTTTTGCTCATTCCTCAAAATGTCCGAATGTTCTCTTCTTATGTGATAATCCAAAGTCCCTTTAATACTAATAATTGAATTCTTGTTACAAGAGTTGCACTCTACTTCAAAATTTCCCGTTCTTGTACAATATTTCCACGCCCAACTGCGAAATGTATGATCCTCCAGTTGTTTCATAGAGTGTTGGCACAAGTGATTTGATAACAGTTCATAATCAGACTCAAAAGATAGACTACATATAATACATTGCAAAGATCCTTCGTTGAAATACTTGAAAAATCTCCACGGCAATTGTTCCAGTTGTCTTTCTTCGTATTCGAAAATTTCCTTATGCAAATTTTTAACGTGCATCTTGAAGTGTGCAACGCAGATGTAACTGTATTCTTTTTCGCAAAACTTACATTTTACTAGAAAATCCGACAACTTTTCGTAATATTGCCACACCTTCTCTTTAGTTACGATTCGATTATTAAATGGTATACACATTGTGTCCGATTTAAATGAAAAAACGCCGTCTGACGACCGAGGTGTCTCGTGTGCTTTTTGCTCATTTCTCAAAATAATTTCCGAATGTTCTCTTTTTACGTGACAATTCAAAGTATTTTTAATATAAAGATCTACATTCCTGTTGCAAGACTTACACTTCACTTTAAAATCTTCCGTTCTTGTACAATATTTGTATGCCCAACTGCGAAATGTATGATCCTCCAGTTGTTTCATAGAATGTTGGCGCAAGTGATTTGATAACAGTTCATAATTAAACTCAAAAGTTAGACTACATATAACGCATTGTAAGGACGATCCTTTGTCGACGCACTTGAAAAATCTCCACGGCAATTTTTCCAAATATTCCTCTTCGTATTCAAAAATTTCTTTATGCACTTTTTTAACATGGCTTTTAAAGTACTCAATCGTAATGTAACAATATTCCTTTCTGCAAAATCTGCATTTTACTAGGAAATCCGACAATTTTTCATAATACTGCCATATTTTCTCTTTAGTTATTACGATGTCAGACGATGCAGACATTGCGTCCATTTCAAGTAACAGACCGCGTGTAACTGAATGAAATGTAAGAATCTTTATGTCGAGCAGTGTTTAGTAAGAGAACGAAGAAAGACGTGTAGTCTTCGATGTAAATATTGATACATTGAGCAAGCCTATCCAGTTTGGAAACCTAACCTAAGCAGTTTATATTGTGAAATATTATTGAGCTTAAAGAAAAATTCGCTACTACTAAATTCGGCCTTTGCCGACCTTACTTTTTCTTTCAGCTTTCCACTCCTTATTGGTCAAAGTGTGAGCGTGGGCATCGTACAATGTTTTTGACGCGTTAAAACAAACTGAAACTATATCCACACACGCGCATCCACTCAGCATTGAATTTGGAAGAGAAAAAGCACGTAACGCGGTAAAAAGTGTACACAGTCCTTTTCCCTATGTATTTATCGTAGCACGCCGAATAAACGAGTGCTGTCCGTTTGTAATTTACAACAAACATATGTATCTCGCTCGAGTGCATCTCACATTGCGGTGATCCTATTTACGCGTCGCTCTCCGTTCACGCCGGCGTAGCGGTAGCCTCTTTTTGCGCGAGCACCGCGGTCGCTCCGGGAAAAAATTTCGCGTCGAAAACAAACGAAGCGAGAACTTCGGTCGCGCGACGGGTATCGCGAGATATCGCGAGCAAGAGCCCGTGCGTCGATGCGTCTGCGTGTGATTGCGCGCAGCGAAATGTAATAAAAAAAGAGTAGCCATCATTTTTGTACGAGCTGCCCTGTCCGCCACAGCTTCCATTCTTTTAGAACTAGCAACGTTTTTTCCCCCTACAGCCGATCGATCTCGCCGGCAAACGTCAGCTGTCTTCTTTGCTAAATCGATAATTCAATTGATCGGATGTAATTTTGAGACAAAAAAAGGATCAAAGCGATAAGATGCTAAATTGCAGAGTTGACCTGCTTTTGTAAGTAAATTATAAATTTTCTGTAATATGACATATTTGGAACAAAGTATATTGTCAGATCGCATATTAATTCGTGTGTATGTGTAATCGTCAATATCGACAGTTTAAAAATATTATGCAAATGCGATTTACTGCCGTTGTACACTAATTGGTTAAAAGTAATCTTCTCTCGTTGACGAAGAAAATCTATTAAAAATCGGAAAAGAGGAAAAGTCCCCAAATAGAAGATTAAATTATCTCGGATTTTAAAAGTTTAAAAACCTGTACGACCGCAATTTTTTCCGAAAGACGTCATAAACGGATCGCGAGTGGACGAGAAACTTCGCAGAAGAAAAAAAGAAGAAAGGGAAAGAGACAGAGAGAGAGAGAGAGAGAGAGAGAGAGAGAGAGAGACAGAGACAGAAAGAGAGAGACAGAGTAAGGCAGAATTAAGCACCACGGTTGGGTCATTTCGGGGTTAAGAGCGTCCAGAATGTCGAGGGTGTCCTAAGGGTTTCAGAAATTCGAAAGTGTCGAAGTTGGTCCCTCCGCTGCGACTCGGTAATGGCAACCCCTCGAGGCTACTCCGAAGGTTGTTTGAAAGTTTAACCAGTTTCCGGGTGGGTCGTGGTCAAACTCGTAACCTTGTAAAGTGAGATTTAAATCTGCCGAGGAGGCATTTTTCTGAAAGTTAAGCGGCATCCGCTATTCCGATATTTATCGTTGCGCAGAGAGGCACTGGACTGCGGTCCGCGTCGTTAAACGCTATAATAATCGCTAAAAATTCCCTCTCATTCACTCCGCACATTCGATTTTCTTTCGCTCTCCGCTTTACACATGTGCGCTCTAAGTGTTTCGAGGATTGCTGTCAACCCGATTCACATGTGTACAATACTCTTGCCTCTCTTTTATGTTTTCTAAAATATGGAGCACAACACGCTGTAAAAACCATTGTCCCGTAATCTCGCTGTCCGAGCTCTTGTGTTTCTCGATTAGCGCGAATAATAGCAGCTTCGTTGTGTAAGCCGTGAGAGCTTAAGTGCCGAGTCTGATTCGGTCGCGGGGAGGAGCTGAAGTAAACCGGTATTGTGCGCGATTGTCGCGTCCAAACGATTTCTGCCTCGATCGCGCGCGCGGTGACGCGACGATTCACAAAGGCGATACAAACGCACACAATGGCAGTCACCCACGCGTTTTAACGGCGCTTCAACGGATACTACGAGAAGGGGGGGGGGGAGTCTGCGTCTATTTTCCGTGCCGGGCGCTTTCGCTACGAGGCGCCGAGAGCGCGTAGCCGACGAAGGGAAAGTTTCATTCGCTTTCACCGCACCCTCGGGATTTCATTAAGCGCGTCCGCGAGTATGGGAGCTACATCGCCGTTGATTAGAGTTACATCAGCCGAACCGGTTCTATATTACTCCGACGCTAAACTTTGATTTGAAAAAAAATGCAAAGAAAATGCCGCGGAAATGGGAAAAACGACTCTTTTTCCGATCCGCCGGCATCTCGGCAAATTTTTTCCAAGAATTAAAGCTAAAGTAACTGGATATTCAAGAGAAACTTGATAAATGGTTACACGAGAAATACCTGGAATAATGTTCCTCCTACTGGACGCAGATGTAATCGCAGTTTGCTCGGCTGCGGCGCATCGCAAATTTATTCTGCAAGTTACATACCTGAAACAGAAAAATACGCACGAGCAATTATTATTTATTCCCCAAATAATGAGCGAACGTAGCTTTATCGCTTAATCTACATCGACGATCAGCGACTAAAACAATACGTAAAATAAAGTTTGAAAACTTGGAATTCAAACGACAAACGATCGTTTGTGACGTCAGATTCTTTGCGCTTTAACGTAATTTTAATCACACGCGTCTTAAACACTGTACATTTTTGCGACACGCACATCCCCGCCGCTATTGTACGGCTGTCCGAATGACTTACACCACTCTGGTTTTGAACAGCCATGTGTTATCCTGTCAAAAGCAATGAACCGGCTGCGGAATTCCGCCGACTACGCGGCGCTCCTTCGCGAAACAATGACGTTTCGCCATAAATAGCGCTATGCACGGTTCGTGCAATTGTGAACCGCGTTAACGGCTGTACGTCTGCGCATTTACATTTCCCCCCCGGTGTAAAGTGAACGCGCGAGTTTCCCTTTTACGACGACGATATGTCCCGTGTTATTTTCTCGCACGCAGGTAAAACTGCGGGGTGAGAGCCTGGTGTGTGAGTCGGCTAAAAAGACTGTAAATTCTTAATGTACGCTCAAATTGGCTCAGGTGCAACCGCGCGACTACAAACGCGCGATACATCGTAACGACGTCTGCAACATTTTCCTATTTTTTTTACACGCCGTTTTTGCACTCCGGGCAATAGCACGTGATTCTCCGCGTGAGAATTTAAAGATGTAATATTCTTGGACGTATATTTTCGTATCGATTTAATTTCAAGTTTAATAAAATATTATACCCAATATATATGTAAATTACACAAGAAGATATCAAAATAGAAGCCGACAGAAATAAAAACAATATCTAAGAATTTTAAAATCTCGTTTATTCTACCTTCTATCCGATTCCGTCCCTCGGACTGGAAAAATGTTTTTACACCGGTTTTAAATTTTAAACGTGCTCTTTCGCGCGAAAGCTGATAGCGTCGACAGGTATCTATACAGTTGCGTGACATTTCAAGCATCTCCGTAATTCCACAAATCGATACGCAGCATTGTACGATGCGTCGCGCGCGCTCGATAAAAATAAGTTGACATTTCGCTAGTCCGCGTGTCGATCTTCAACAAAGGCGGGGAACGAAAGCAATTCCCATCGCGCGCAGAGTTGCATTCGTTTCCCGGGGCCGCGCCTCGACCAGACGTGCGGAAAACTTTGTATTCTTACGGGACACCGCGAAACAAGATTTGCCGCGGCTTTGTCGGCGCCTGTCCGCCAGAAATTCGCCAGAAGTCTACGAATAAACGCGCGACATCCGCCGCAGAATATATTTTTGCCGGCCAGACGGGCCTCCTTTTTGCACGCTCAGCTCGGAGATCGCGGCGCATATGCGCGCAGTGACGCGAGAGCCGGTGTGCTCGAAGAGGCAGGAAGAGGATCCTTCAGAGTGATAATTCGCATGTGTGCTATATATCGCCGCGCGGTAATATCAAGCGAATTTGTGCATCGTACAAGCGATTTAACGCAACAGCCGCTCGCGTTCATAAATTTCTTGCGAGATATTAAATATACGCTAATGGATTTTAAGCTTTTTAACATCGTACGACTGCTGTTTTTGAGATTTCTGCAAATGTATTTAACATTTAAAAACGCCTATTGAATTGAAATACATGGTAAAAAGCGAGCTTGTTACATTTTTTTAAAGGCCAACATTAAATCATTTTTAAAAGCTTTTATAACCATGCCGGATCCACCGTTAAGGATTGTGAATTAACTGAATTTTTTATTATTCGAAATAATGGACTGCGCACATACGCAGTATTCATTATTCAAATTGCTTAGTAAAGGAAAAGTTAAATGTCGGTAGCTTGCTCCTATTCATGTATATTCATTCACAACTTCCGTGTAATGTAACTGCGAGTAATCTCTATCTGCTTAATTTAAGTGAGCACGTGTTATCGAAATAAACCACTTGTCAGCAAGCCTTTATTTAATTCACATCACGATATGATATAGAATTTTGACGCATCGCCGGCGAAATGCAGCGGGTAACTTTCGCGCGGCCGCGAGCATAGCTCTCGCTTCATTCACTTTAACTGATACACCGATGCGCCGCTTATTCGAAGCTGGCGATGAGCCAGATGGACGATATTAATGTACATCGCGCACGTACTTCGTAACGGCGCGCCGACAAACACTATTTTAACGGTGATCACGTTGCCTATACGATATCAGCTTTCTGTTTGCCGGTGGTTGATGGTTTTTCGCTTTTTTTTTTTTTCTTTACTCCTTCCGCCGAGCCTGACCTCGGCGATTAATGGAACCTGAAAATTGGAGAGGCGAACGAAACGAGCTCGAGGACTATCCACGATTATTAACGCCGCGGATCGTCGCCCACCGAAGATGAAATTTTCATGAAAAAGAGTTGGGTGGATGGATTTCCCGTCTTTTGTAGAGTTGACGAGATTATTGTGCTGCTCGCGAAGATACTTGAAGACATAAACGATTTTGATGTAAATTGTGTAGCGTATTTTTCGGAATATTTTCATGGGAATCTTCATCAAGTGACTTTGGCACGCCTTTCACAATGCAAAAACAATTTCTATATAACGCTGACAGCCTCTCCGTGACGAAAAAATGATTTAAATTTTTCCACAAAAAGAGAATAGGGCGGTCGCGTTTGCGGCCTACGGATGAAACGTCACGACTACGTTCAGCTCACCGACTGTATTTCATTCGGCAACCGGGGATAACAAATGGCACGGCGGAGACCGCTACAATGGCGGCTGAATATCACGGTATTTTTCTCGACCCGTCCCGCGCTCCCGTTTCGTCGGGGCAGCAGAGGGGGGGTGGGGCGGGGTGAATTTATTCGATCGTCGCATCGATGGACATCCCGCCTTTCCGGGAATAGTGGAAACATGGCGCATAGGTCTCCGCACAATTCGCCGTTAGATTTAAACGACATCGAG